GTAGGGAATCCAGTGAATAGAACTCAGTAATGGATTTCTTATATAAACCATGCCTGTATGCTTTATCATAATTTTAAATTTCAGTCTCTTTAAAGAGGAGAAAGAACCTAAAGAACATATGATAAAACCTGAATATGTAATTCTGCTAGATTTTTATGATTTTGCCCTAAACTTTTAGCCCAATACTAGTCCAAGTTACGTAAGGTAAGAGGGCTTGTAGTGTACTTTGTTATGGTGAAGAACTGGGATACGGTAGCAAGAATGACTGGGGCCATGGCTACACAGATAGTCTGATAAAAGAAACTATATTTTATAATAACCTTTTGCTACGTGAAGTGTATTTTCTTTGTTTTGTATTGAGCATAAGCAGTACATTGGTTTTCTCTTTTGAGATTAACACGATTTATTGTCTCAATACAAAGTAGAAAATTTTTTTCTTTTATTGTGGTAAAAAACATAACATAAAATTTGCCTTCTTAACCATTTTTAAGTGTACAGTTCAGTGGTATTTAATGCATTCATAATGTGTGCAGCCATCACCACTATCTACCTCCATACTTCTTTTCATCTTGTAAAACCAAAGCACCCTATCCGTTAAACAATAGCTCTACATTGCTACTTTCCCCTGCCTCTGGCAACCACCATTCTACTTTCTCTCTCTATCATTTCGACTACTTTCAGTATCTCATATAAGGGGATCATACAGTATTTCTCTTTTTGTGTCTGAGTTATTTTACTTAGCAGTGTTCTCGTGGTTCATCCATGTTGTAGCATATGTCAGAATTTTCTTCCTTTTTAAGGCTGAATAATATTCCATTGCATATCTATACCACGTTTAGCTTATCCATTCATTCATTAAAGAACCCTTGGGTTGTTTCCACATTTTAGGTATTGTGAATAATGCTGCTGTGAACATGAGTGTACAAATATCTCTTCAAGACACTGATACCCTTCAATCCTTTTTTCATCCCTGCTTTCAATTCCACCAAGAAGTGGAATTGCTGGATTGTATGGTAATTCTATTTTTAATTTTTTGAGGAACTCATATTATTTTCCATAACATTTCCATTTTACATTCGCATGAACAGTGCACAAGGGTTGCCATTTGGCTTTATTCTTGCCAACTGTTGTTATTTCCTGTGTTTTTTTTTTTTTTTTATGGCAGCCATCCTAATAGTGTGAGGTGGCCTCTCATTGTAATTTTGATTCACATTTCCTTAATGATCATTGATGTTGAACATTTTTTCATGTGCTTATTGGCCATTTGTATATCTTCCTTGGAGAAATGTCTATTCACTTCCTTTGCCCATTTTTGAATTTTGTTGTTGTTGTTGAGTTTTAAGAGTTCTCTCTATATTCTATTCTGGGTATTAATCTCTATAAGATATATGATTTACAAATATTTTCTCCCATTCTTTGGGTTGCCTTTTCACTCTGTTGATATTATCTCCTGATGCACAACGTTTAAGACCTTTCATGAACTCCAATTTGTCTATTGTTGCTTTTGTTGCCTATGTCTTTGGTGTGTATCCATGAAATCCTTGCCAAATCCAATGACATGAAGCTCTTGCCCTATGTTTTCTTTTAAGAGCTTTATAGTTTTAGCTCTTACATTTAGGCCTTTGACCCATTTTGAGTTAATTTTTTGTCTGTGGTGTTAAGTAAGGGTCCAACTTCATTCTTTTGCATGTGGATATAAAGTTTTCCCAGCTTTTCCTCCAGTGAATGATCTTGGCCTCTCTGTGAAAAAATCGTTTGACTGTGTATGTGAGGGTTTATTTCTGGTCTCTCTATTCTGTTTCATTGATCTATATGTCTGCCTTTATGCCAGTACCACGTTGTTTTGATTGCTGTAGCTTTGTAGTAAGCTTTGAAATAAGGAAGTATGAGTCCTCAAGCTGTGTTCTTCTCTTTCAAGATGGATTTGCATATTTGGGATCCTTTGAGATACCATATGAATTTTAGGATGGATTTTTTACTTCTGCAAGAAATATTATCTTGATAGGGATTTTGATAGGGATTGCATTGAATCTGTAGGTGGCTTTGGGTAGTATTGACATCTTAATATTAAGTCTTCCAGTTAATGAACATGGCATACGTTTTCGTTTGTTTATGTCTTCTTTAATTTCTTTCAGCAATGTTTTGTAGTTTGCATTTTGCAAGTCTTTTACCTCCTTGATTAAGTAAATTCCAAAGTATTTATTCTTTTTGATGCTGTTGTAAATGGGATTTTCATAATTTCCTTTTCAGATTGTTCATTGTTAGTATATAGAAATGAACTGATTTTTGTATTTTGACTTTGTATCCTCTACTTTACCAGATTTATTTATTAGCTTTAATAGTTTTTTGTGGAACCTTCAGGGTTTTATATATAAGATCATAACATCTGTGAAAAGAGAAAACTTTACTTCTTCCTTTCCAATTTGGATGCTGTTTATTTCTTTTTCTTGCCTCATTGCTCTGGCTATAACTTTCAGTATTATGTTGAATAAAAGTGGCAAAAGTGGGCATCCTTATCTTGTTCCTGATCCTAGAGGAAAAACGTTCAGTCTTTTACTATTGAGTATGATGCTTGCTGTGGGTTTTTCACATTTGGCTTTTATTATGTTGAAATATGAAATAGAGTTTGTTACTTTTTTTGGATTCTTATACTTTTCAAAAATTTCAAGTAAAGAAAAGAAATAACTGTGTGTGTGTGTTTACAAATATACATGTATACACATACTAGATAAGCATATGTATATAATTTATTTATCGATATATATGAATAAACCTGGTGGACAAAATTACTTATTAAGGTTATTTTTTAGAACATTTGAAAATAGTAGATGAAGTGTTTCTTAATAAAACTATATCCCATCTATTTTTAGATGTTGCACCCATTGGGTGTATTAGTTGTATGCTTGGTATAATGTTTAAACTGTTGCAAATTGAGGTGAATTAGTTGGAAGTGAAAGACTAGCGATATGAGTAGCTTATTTATATTTTATATTTTATATTTTTAATTTGACACTCTGATAAGAAAACAGGCAGTATGTTTATGTATAATGACTTACTCTTCTAAAAGATGTTTTTTTCTTATTTCAGGTAACTTAATGCGGCCTCTTTTGAATTATGGTATTGCTTGGTGAGCATATCTTTTTTACTTTATGTTACTTTTCAGAATAATATTAACTTATATAAATTAGTTGTATTTTTGGTTTCCCATTGCAGTATGTCCATGGGCTTCCTGATTGAAGAGACTGCACCCATTGTTTGGAGAGGCCTTATGGTAATGTCAGCCATTGAGAAACTGTTGAGGCAGGTAAGAAAATTGCATTAAGCATCATTTTATTATCAGCACACTGTGGTTAATATTTTCTGATTGGGGAGTCGTTAAAATTTGCAGTCAGGTTTGAGATGTTTTGCAAAAGAACCCAGTCAATATACTGAATTTATAATGAGGTGTGTGGGGCCAAGACCAACTTTCACTGTCACATGATTGAATCTTTCCCGTTGCTTATTAGTACTAAAATCTAATGTCTTATTTTATATTATTCTGTTTCTCTGTTCAGACTCTGTTGAGTCTACATCAAGGCAAGGAAATTTATTTTATAAGTAATCTGCCTTCTTTAGATTTATGGTTAATTTCGTTGTGGCCAATATTGAGTTATAAGGGCAGTGTAGAAATTCCTTAGATGTAGAAAAAATTCTGTAAACCACAGTGCTTATGATTAAACTTGCTTCAGAACAAAATGAAATTTTATTTTACTCTGAGTACATATGGTTACATATTTATTTATATAGTATCTGTCCAATCAACTTGAATTTGTCCTTAAGGAAAAGAACAGTTGATTGGATAATATAAAAATATCAGATGAGCTCTATGTTATTTATAGGAATAAATTTTATTTTTTCTTAGTAACTGTGAATTTATAGTTAATTATGTTCTAGGTAAATATTATAAGTACTTTGGATTTTCTCCACTGACTTATAACAATTATGCCTTATTTATTCATGTTTTACTTTGGGTCAGGCACCATGCCATAGTCTGGCAGTTCTAATCATAGATATTCCTATATTCATTTCCAGTTGTGAAAGTAAGTAGATATAATATGTCTTGAACTCTGAAACTCTTCTTTTTTCATTGTAACATCTTGTCTTTTTTCTGCTGCTTGAGTTCTGATAAATGTGCTCTTTGATCTTTGGTCCCAGAATCCTCCTATCTTCTCAGCACATTTAAGTCTCTTGGCTGCATTTCTTCCTCTTTCACACTCAGATCCCATAGTTGGTTATTTCAGTTATACTCCTGACACCATCCATTCCAGTTCCTTTGTGATCTTGACCTTTATTTCTGTGGATTAAGCCAGGATTTTTTTTTTCTTTAAGGAAATTCTAAAATAATCTTTATTCAGTTTATAATTAAAGTTAGAGTCAATGGAAATTTGGAAACACCAGAAGGAGAATTTTGATTTTAATATTGTCAACTGAAAAAATTGTGCAACCTGTAAGTTGAGAATTATGTTTTATTTGGCGGACAAAACTGAGGACTTCATCCCAGGATGCAGTCTCTCAGGTAACTCTAAGGGACTGCTTCGAAGAGGTAAGGGAGGGGCCAGGATATATAAGAGTTTTTGTAGCAAAGACAGGTAGTCAGAACATCAAAAGATTACTGTCAATTTAAGAAAATCACATATCTCAAGTTAAGGAATTTAGCGCTTGTCTGTGTATGGGAGGATGCAAGAGTTTGGGCTCGTTGAAATCATTCCTTTGATATCTGGGGCCCTCAGTTATCTGGGGCCAGTATCCTGTGCTTTCTCATCCTGAGTTTCCTCAGGGTGCACCATCAGGGGTGGCTGCAGCAGCTGACTGCTAGATGGGGGGCATCCTGTTTCTATCCTGAGTTCCCTCAGGGCTAACTATCAGGGAGGTGGTAATGTGATGGCTTGATGGCTGCAACATCCTTGTTTACTGATATGGCAGGCAACATTTTCTCATTGACAATATTTCCCGCCTCCTATGTTAGTGTTAGAATTCTCAACAGGAAATGATTCAGAATTCCTCCTAAGTCTTTATGGATGGCCACAAGAAGATGGAAGTACTTCCACTTTCCACAGTGATCAGACACTTAGAGATCCAAGTCAGTGAGAAGAGACACAGAAGTCCAGGCCAAGGGTTGGTGTTCCTAGCTCAGAGATATAGAATCCCCATAGCCCATGCCCAGCAAGGTGTGAGCAAGTTCTCTCTTTTCTGTCCTTTTTAAATCTCAGGGATCCTTTTAAATCTCAGATTCCAACAGGTGACAAAAGCATCTGCAAATGAGCCCCTGAGCCTGGAAGAGAGAGAGCAAATGTGTAACTGCCCTCAGGAGAGGGGCAAAGGGAGTTTCCCACAGAATGAGATTAAACCTGACAGTTTGAATAATTAGGCTGCAGAAAGACTGCACCTGAAGCTCACACTTAGATTTAGTACCTGCTTTTATAAACAAAGAAAACTTTTTGAGACCAGAGGTGAGAAGATCAAAAGTCTGAAGGAACCAGAAGTATATTATTTTTTTATTTTGTGGGGTGTTGGGGAAGGGGAGAGGAGGCAGGATGCCAATTCTGTATTCTCAGTGTCCCACCATAACCCAGCCTTTTGTATCTACTGCTGAATACTGTTGAAGAATGTAGAATACTTGTGTTAATTGCTGGCATCATACAATTTTGATTTCTGAGTTTAGCCAGGCTCTCAGCATTTCAATCATCTGATTTAATTCATTATTCTTCTCAACATTTATTAAATGCTCGGCTTAAAAAATATTTAGGGGGCTTCCCTGGTGGTGCAGTGGTCGAGAGTCCGCCTGCTGATGCAGGGGACACGGGTTCGTGCCCCGGTCCGGGAAGATCCCACATGCCGCGGAGCGACTGGGCCCGTGAGCCATGGCCACTGATCCTGTGCGTCCGGAGCCTGTGCTCCGCAACGGGAGAGGCCACAACAGTGAGAGGCCTGCGTACCGCAAAAAAAAAAAAAAAAAAAAATTAGGGAATTTGGTAGTTTGGCAGAGGACCTATTGGAGATGTGGTGATTTGACTTGCTGGCACATAAATCATATAAAAGTCACAGTTTATTCTGACAAGTGCTGAAGATACATTTTTAGCTACATACTACAAAATATTAGAATGAATATCAGGGGTGAGAAAATGAATCCATTGCTTATTTTATTGGGATACTTAGAGGATACCTAGAGTATCCTCTAGGATATTAGGATATTGGACTGCATGTTTGCCATACAGTCTTTTGTAAAGTTGCTTCTGTCATCTGCACATTTTAATAGGAGCTGAAAGCTGATATTTTTGGATCATACCGTGACCAGCTAATCATCGGAGCTATTAATTAAGGAGTGTTTTGTTTTAGTTTTTGTTTTGCTTTAGAAAGCAGACCAGCATTTGGTAAATTTAACATCCTTTGTGAAAATATAGTAGCTGGATAGATGCTCTATATAACAGTGGATTTTGGAGGGTACCTGGTTCATTGGCTGATTAAAAAAATTGAATATAACACATTTGTAGAAGAAGGTACAGATCATAAGTGTCCAGATAGATGGATTATCCCAAAGTGAAAACACCTTTATACTCATCATTCAGAACAAGATAAATAGAATACCAGTGTTCCAGAAGCTCTTCTCCTGTCCCTTCCCAGTTACTATCTTGTGGGGAGATGATAAATACTTGTGGTAGGTCTGCCATCTTGAACTGGAATATTTTTTAAAGTTTTTTTCCCTCTTTCTTTTAATTTATTGAGTTAAACTTATACATATAATAGGATTCACAGATCTTATATGTGGCGTTCAGTGATTTTTGATAAACATATATGACTGTGTAACCATACCCCAATCAAGATAGAGGACATTTCCATGCCCCTAGAAAGTTTCCTTGGGCTCTCTTGTAGTCAGTCCCACACCCATAGGCCATGATTGTTGTGATTTCTGTCACCATAATGAGTTTTACATGTTCTTATACTTCATATAAAGGGAACCTTATAGTATATAGCCTTTTGTATCTGGTTTCTTTTTCTTAATCTAATGCTTTTGAAGTCATCCTTGTTGCATGTATCAGTAACTGAGTCCTTTTTATGGCTGAGTAGTATTCCTTTACATGAATATAACCCAATATTGTTTTAGCTGTTCTTTTGATAGACATTTAGGTAGTCTCCAGTTTTTGGCCATTATGAATAATGCTGCTATAAATACTTGTACAAGTGTTCATAAGAGTTCCAGTTGTTTCACATCTTTGTCAATGTTTGGTGTGGTCATTCTGTTCACTGGTGGGTATAAAATGATATCTTCTGATGGTTTTAGTTTGTGCTTCCCTGATGGTCAGTGATTTTAAGCCCCTTTTCATGTGCATGTTAGATATTGCTATATCTTCTTTCATGAAGTGTATGTTCAAGTCTTTCACTCTTTTTTTTTTTTTGGCTCATTTTTCTTCTTGTAATTGAGTTGCAGGAGTTTTAATATATTCTGGTTATGAGTCCATTGTCAGGTACATGTATTGGGAATATTTCTCCCAGTCTGTGGCTTGCCTTGTGATGAGCTGAAGTTTTAAATTTTCGTGAAACCCAATTTATACCCCCCTCCAATTTTTTTTTTCTTAATGCTTAGTACTTTTTCTGCCCTCTCTAAAAAATCTTTGCCTGTCTACCCCAAGGTTGATATTCTCATGTATATTTTTACCTTTAAGATTTCTAGGTCTGGCTTGTATATCTGGAATTAATTTTTTTGTATGAAGTGAGATAATGATCAAGGTTTATATTTTTTCATAGTTGTGTCATAATAGGAAATATATTTATTCTTTGTCCTTGGGTCCTGTCACAAAGCTTCTAAAACCCTTGGAATTTCCTGAGTGTTAGGATTGTCCTTTGTCATTCATAAGGAGCCTCTTTTTGAGCACACCTGCTAGTTCATGCTAGTGAGGTGACTTGGGGTAGGACCCCTAGATAGCCTCAGGATGGGACTGGTCACCAGCAAGGCCAAGTATTTAGAGGGTTAGAACTTTCAGCCTCTCCTACTGACCTCTGGGAACGGGAAGTGGGGTGGGCTGCAGATTAAACTCTATGAAAATTCTTGAACAACAAGATTCGATGAGCTTCTGGGTTGTAAAACATATCCACATGCTGGGTGGGTTGTGTACTCTAGTTCTATGGGGACAGAAGCTCCTGTGCTCAGGGCCCTTCTGAACCTTGTATTTACCTCTTCATCTGGCCGTTCATCTGCATCCTTTATAATACCCTTTATAATAAACTGGTAAATGTAAGTAAACATTTTGCTGAGTTCTGTGAGCTGCT